AAAAAGAGCCCATATAGCCAAGATGATCCTAAGCAAAAAGAACAAAGCTGGAGGCATCATACTGACTGACTTCAAAGTATACTACAAGGCTACAGTAACCAAAACAGCATGGTACTGGTACCAAAATATATATATAAACCCATGGAACAGAACAGAAGCCTCAGAAATAATGCCACACATCTACAACCATCTGACCTTTGACAAACCTGACAAAAACAAACAATGGGGAAAGGATTTCCTATTTAATAAATGGCGTTGGCAAAACTGGCTAGCCATATGCAGAAAACTGAAATTGGACCCCTTCCCTACACCTTATACAAGATGGATTAAAGACTTAAATGTAAGACCTAAAACCATAAAAACCCTAGAAAAAAATGTTGGCAATACCATTCAGGACAGAGGCATGGACCAAGACTTCATAACTAAAATTCCAAAAGCAATGGCAACAAAAGCCAAAATTGACAAATGGAATCTAATCAAACTAAAGAGCTCCTGCACAGCAAAAGAAACTGTCATCAGAGTGAACAAGCAACCTACAGAATGGGAGAAAAATTTAGCCAAAGAGCTAATATCCAGAATCTACAAGGAATTTAAACAATGTACAAGAAAAAAAAAAACTCATCAAAAAGTGGGAGAATGATATGAACAGACACTTCTCAATAGAAGATGTTTATGCAGCCAACACACGTATGAAGAAAAGCTCATCATCACTGGTCATTAGAGAAATGAAAATCAAAAGCACAATGAGATACCATCCCACACCAGTTAGAATGATGATCATCAAAAAGTCAGGAAACAACAGATGCTAGAGAGGATGTGGAGAAATAGGAATGCTTTTACACTGTTGGTAGGAGTGTAAATTAGTTCAACCACTGCAGAAGATACTATGGTGATTCTTCAAGGATCTAGAACTAGAAATACAATTTGGCCCAGGAATCCCATTACTGGGTATATATACCCAAAGGATTATAAATCATTCTACTATAAAGACACATGCACACATATGTTTATTGCAGCACTATTCACAATAGCAAAGACTTGAAACCAACCCAAATGCCCATCAATGATAGACTGGATAAAGAAAATGTGGCATATATACACCATGGAATACTATACAGCCATAAAAAAGGATGAGTTCATGTCCTTTGCAGGGACATGGATCAAGCTGGAAACCATCATTCCCAGCAAACTAACACAGAAACAGAAAACCAAACACCACAAGTTCTCACTCATAAGTAGGAGCTGAACAATGAGAACACATGGACACAGGGAGGGGAACATCACACACCAGGGCCTGTGAGGGCGTGGCCGGCCTCGGAGAGGAACAGCATTAGGAGAAATACCTAATGTAGATGTTGGATTGATGAATGCAGCAAACACCATGGCATGTGTATACCTGTGTAACAAAGCTGTACATTTTGCACACGTGTCCCAGAAGTTAAAGTATAATAATAATAATAATAATAATATTATTATTATATTAAAAGAGGACACTGTTAAGAGAATGAAAAGGCAAATCACAGATTAGGAGAAAATATTTGCAAATCACACATCGGATAATGAACTTGAATATAGAAATAAAGACCTCTTCAAGAAGACATAGAAAGATGCATCATGAGGCAGTAGGGAAATGCAAATCAGAATCACAATGAGATACCACTTCACACACAGTAGGAAAAATAAAGTTTTTAAAACTGGCAAAATGAAGTGCTGAAGAAGATGTGAAGAAACTAGAGCTTTCATACATTCCTGGTGGGAATTCAAACTGGTACTGCCTTTCTGAAAATTCATTTGGAAGTTTCTTACAAAGTAAAAAACATATTTACTATACAACCCTGAAACTCCACTCCTAGGTATTTACCCCAGTCAAATAAAATTTTATGTTCACACAAAAGCCTGTATGCAAATATTTATAACAGCTTTATTCATAACTGACAAAAATTGGAAAAAAAAACCCACAAATGTTTCTCTAATGGAGAATGGATAAATCAACTGTTGTACATCTGTACATCTACTTGGAAATAAAAAAGAAAAAACTCACCAGGCACAATGGCTCTTGGCTGTAATCCCAGCACTTTAGGTGGGCTGATCACCTGAGGTCAAGAGTTCAAGACCAGCTTTACCAACATAGTGAAACCCTACCTCTACTAAAAATACAAAAGTTAGCCAGGTGTAGTGGTACACACCTGTAGTCCCAGCTACTTGGGAGGCTGAGGCAGGAGAATCGCTTAAACCCAGGAGGTGGAGATTTCATTGAGCCCAGATCATGCCACTGCGCTCCAACCTGGGTGACAGAGTGAGACTCTGTCTCAAAACAAAAACAAAAACAAAAACTCCTTACTCATGCAACATGGATGAATCTCAAATGCATCATGCTAAGTGAAAGAAACCAGACTCAAAAGATTACATACTGAAAGACTCCATTTATATGACATTCTTGCAATAGGGAAAGATGATGAATCAGTGATTGCCAGAAGCTGGGTGGGAGGGGAGAGGTAGATTACAAAGGAAAGGGGCACAGAGTGCGGGTCACAGGGTGATGAAACCCCTATATAGCTCAATTATCACAGTGAACACAGGGTTAAATACACTAGTCAAAACCTGCAAACTTCACACTAAAAAAAAAAAAAAAAAATTTAATGTATGTAATGTATGTAAATTATATCTTACTTTGTATGTTTAATTTTTAAAACATACAAATTTCACACAAAATTAGAATAATAATTTAAAATTAAAGGGAAAACAAGTTTTGCCTAGCTCATACCTAACATGAACAACAGTGTCCACATTTGTGTTACAAATACATAAAGAATTTTAAGAGTATATAAATGTTAATTTCCCAAGAAAGAAAAATGTTTCCAATTAGGGAGCAAGCATAAGTGAACTGGTGAAATAGTTCTTCAAATAGATCATTAATCTGACTGCAGATTTCCCTGTTTATAAAAACCTTGCCTTTTCAATGACAACTAGGGAGGCAGGCTGGCTGGTAGAGACGGGCTTCTTGGTTTGAATGGAAACAGTTGGCGACCCATGAAAACAAAAGTACCATGTCTGGTGCTAAGTAAACAGTAAACGAGCAGTAAACCAACAACAGCAACAAAACAAAAAAAAAACTTTTTTTATTAAAATGTGAAAATAGCAACTATATAAATGTATTAAATAGTCACATGTACCCTGGAAATAAGTACATCTATTATGTATCAATTTTTAATGTAATTTGTTTGAGACAGGGCATCTCCCTGTCACTCAGGCTTAAGTGCAGTGGTGCCATCATAGCTCACTCCAAACTGAGCTGAGCCATCCTCCTGCCTCAGCCTCCTAAGTAGCTGGGATTACAGGTGCATGCCACCATGCCCTGCTAATTTTGCTCCTACTGATATTTTTTTCCGAAAAGCAAAGCAGTTGTTTAAATAAATGGGTACATGCCTCTCTAAAACGAAATGTGCTGCCATGCAACATATTTTACGAAAAAAAGTGGTTTAACTAGAAAAATGTATGTAAGTTATTGCTATTCTAACACACAACTTTTAAGTTCTAGTAACTGCTTTGCTATTCACTGTTATTTTATGGGACTTAATATTCCAAGATTATTTTTAAAATATTGATGTTCTGAAATACTTGTTGCTTTACACATTTAGACATGTTCATCGGCTTTAAACAAAAATGGATTATTCTTCAGAAATAGCATTTTAAATTCACTTTTTGCCCTGGAGCACTGTATTTATTTTTAAATAAAACATTCTGAAGATAGGAATAAACCAAAAAACAGAACTAAAAAATATACTTTATCCAATGGAATTTTGTAGACAAAACTAAGCTCTTGTGGACAAGCCATAACCATACCAGTATACTCCTGGCTTCTGAGCTTCCTGAGTGCTGGATTCTTCAACTCTAAAATGTCAAATTAGGGTTTTAAAAGGGATTTTCGGCTGAGTGTGATGGCTCATGCCTGTAATCCCAGTAATTTGGGAGGTTGAGACGGGCGGATCACCTGAGGTCAGGAGTTTGAGACCAGCCTGACCAACATGGCAAAACCCCGTCTCTACTAAAAATACAAAATTAGGCAGGCATAGTGGCACATGCCTGTAATACCAGCTACTCAGGAGGCTGAGACAGGAGAATTGCTTAAACTTGGGAGGTGGAGGTTGCAGTGAGCTGAGATCTAGCCGTTGCACTCCAGCCTGGGTGACAGAGTGAGACCCTGTCTCAAATAATCATGACAATAAAAGGGATTATGTATGATGAATTAAATATACAAACATTGATCTCACTCAGGACCTGAGAACCTTGTGAGGCACAGTTTCTTAGAAAGAATCAATATTGCCTTTGTACTCAAGATTTTTTAAAGAAAAAAACAAAAGCCTAGGCCTCAGCTGCATGAATATTCTGGAAGACAGAGAGATAATACGTAGGGAGAGAGAGAGAGACAGAGAGAGACAGAGAGAGAGAGAGAGAGAAAGATCTGGAATATATATGGAAGTTTGTGTTTGGAACACAAACTTGTTCTAAATTGTTGTGAGGTCTTTTCAAATGAGCAAGCACTTCTAAAGATGATGTGACCGACTGTCCTGGTTTGCCTGGGATAGAATAGGGTCCTAGGAAATGAAACTTTTCATTTTGGAACTGAGATGGCCCCAGGTAAATTGGGTCCAGGACTGAGGGGATTCCTAGGAGGATCTCTCTAAAGACCAGGCTGATTGAAGGGTAGACAAGCAAAGCCAAGTTTGCTCAGAGTAAATGGGCAAATTATTACTAAACTGGCTTCCTTAACCATCTTGTATCTTCTTTATATTCTTTACCCTAAGTATTGAAACTGACATTAAGGCTAAGAATAACAGAACAAGACAAAGATTTCCCTTCTTTCCCCTTTACCTTTTTCCCATTTAATGAACTGGGGAATCTTCCCACCAGCCATCAATATTGGCCATCCTTTTGAACCTTCACATATTTTTAACCTTGAACCTCAGTGGTGAATCAATTTTCCTATCATTACTTTTCAGCCCCTGAGTTTTGAAAGCAAGAAAAGCTACACCTTAAAGGTGGAGGGAGCCAATCCTCATCTAGAGATGCGCTTTCTGAACTTGGGCCCATTTCAGGACACAACAACAGTGCACATCAGTGTGGAAGATGTGGACGAGCCCCCTGTATTCGAACCTGGCTTTTACTTTGTGGAGGTGCCTGAGGATGTGGCGATTGGAACAACCATACAGATCATTTCTGCCAAGGACCCAGATGTGACCAACAACTCAATCAGGTTTGCCTAGATTTCACCTTTTCCTTATATGCTGGACTCTTCCCTTCCCCTGTATGTACTTTTCTAGCCCCTTTCCCTTTGTTTCTTTCTTCTCTATCCCATTTCTGGAGACTCTCTGTTTGTTGTTGTTGTTGTTGTTTTTCCTTAAGTAACATGGCCTTGTCAGGTTATTTAGAAGTGAAGTGTCATGTCTACAACTCCCTTTCAATTGGTTCAGACACACACACACACACGCACACACACATGCACACACACACATACACACACCCCTTAGTTCTCAATCATGGTCCTATTGACATTTGGGACTGGATAATTCTGTGTTGTTGTAGAGGTGTTCTCCTGTGCATTGAACCATGTTTAGCAGCGTCTCTGGTCTTCCCACTAAATGCCAGCAGCACCCTCTGAGTTGTAACCACCTAAAATGTCCCCAGATGTTGCTAAATGTCCAGGGAGGTGGTGCAAAATCACCCCTGGTTGAGAACCACTAACTCAGATAAAGTATAGTCAGACACACAGATGTCAAAATGTTAAAATCTGTTGACTCTCAGTGTTGAACATAAAGGAAGTCATTATGCATTCTTCCATCTTTTATGGATCTTAGACATGTTTTACTTTTTAAAACTGAAGAAAATAACATCTACTATCTATATTCCATATACTATAGAAAGAGCAGGCATAGAAACTACTTCTTTTGTCAGTGACTTCAATGCCTTGTAGACTGGCCAGAAAGATGGGTCTTTGTACGCTAATACCACATGTCTATCTCTCCAACGTATGTATTGGAATTAAAGATTCCAAACAAGATGCTTCTGCTCAAGAAGATGAGAGCTGTTCTTACAGTCATGGCCATCCCTCATCAACTGGAACCAAAGTGTAAATAGCTGGTGGACAGGTTGACACACAACCTTCCAGAGCAGCTGCCAAACCTATGAAGCTTGACATGAAAGATCAGATTTCCAAGGCTGCTGGAAGCCATCTGTCACATTAATTGTTGAAAGCCACACTGTAAAATGAATCTGGGGCTTTAGTGCAGATAACACATTTTAAACATACCCACTTTATCAAATGCCTTTTCTGTCAGCTGGCTACTTCTCTCACCTAGTGCTGTTGTGTATTTAATGAAAACCTGCTTTTGCAGTTTCACAAGAATGGCTTTTTCCAGAGAGTAACAGTACTAAGGGGAAATTCACTTCCACTAACCAACCAGTAAACATTTTACATGTTCAAGCATTAAAATGGCAAAAACGATTTTGTTTGAATTCTGATATTTGATTTTTTCAAAGGCAACTAATGTATTATATAACAACTTTACAGATGTTATAGTTCAACCTGAAGCTTTTTAAATATAAACTAGGATGGGGAGAGATTAGTGCAAGCATATTATTCCCAGAGCAATCACAATGAAAACAAAACAGATTCCATTTTAAGTGTGTATTTTCAGAAGCCAAGAATATATACCTTCCAATCCTAATTTATTAATTAAATATGTATTAATCCACCATAGACTAATTAATCTATTCCTGTAACCAAAGACTATATGAGAGAAACTTTCAAGAAAAAAATTTTTACTACTGGCATGAAGTAAAATGAGGTAGACAAAATGAAGAAATCTTGTCTCACTAACAGAAAATGCTGCTTCAGATGATGACCAACTGAAAACTATCAGTTGGCCAGCACATCTGTTAGCATCAGGGAGGTCTATATTGGAGAGTCTGGCTAGTCCACTAGAACCCAGGAAGGATGAATACAGGAGTGAATAGGCCAGAGCACAGGGTCCACTGGGCTGTTCTGGGGCAGGACTGCAGATCCTCAGATGGAAATTGGCAAGAACAAGGCCACAAGCCCAGAGGTAGTAAGACACGGCTCAGGCACAGGGGGCAATGCGAAATTCTAACGATCAGATTTGGGGATAATTCTCCCTCTGCATTTTGGTTGCAAAGAAAGACCGGAATTCTTACTTTTAGATATCCCTGACTCTTTGTACTATCCCACAGCAACCAAGAATGGTCCCTGGACCCAAAATGAACCACTAGAGGTCCCATATTCTCAGAGGGAAATGCACCTAAAACTTAATTCTCTGGATCTCATTTAAAAACCAATTTGGGAATTCCTTTCTTCTGTTATCTTTCACCAAACTGCTCTTCTTTTCCTTATTTTTCATATTACTTCCTTCTAAAATAATTTGTATAGTTATATGCTGCATGGCTAATTCATCATCTGCATTTCTATTACAAAGAATAAATGAGATTTATATTCCTAAGGAGAAAATATCTAATTAAGTCATTCAAAAAATCAACTTATCACCTGAAGTTAAAATGTTACAGATAAAAGGCCGTTTAATATGTTTCAAAGATTATTAGGACTTTTGTAATTTCCTTTCTAGAAAGTTGATGGTGTGTTCAGGAATATATGCTGGGACTCATTTACTGGTAAGCCCCAAAACAGAATCTCCAGATTTAGTGATATGTACATGAAAAGACAATGCTTGAATCCCCTGAATTTTTAATACATGCTCAAGGACTCTGACAAGCAGGATACTGAGCCATTTGGCAACTGAAAGAGGCTTCTCTGATGTGGAAACTGCCTCCCCCCAGTTCCTTCCCAGAATGTGTGTGGATTTAGCCAGCCTTCTTCTGATACTCCACCTCCAAATTGCTCCCAAATTCAGATGTCCTCAGCTAAGCAGGGAGTCTGGAAAGCACCAGCTACCGCTGGCTCTGGGCAGCTTTGTACCTGTGTGATGCTGATTCTGCTCACAGGAGGTAAGAATGTAATGGTTAAGAAAGGAAAATCACCTACATAATTCACAAGTGTGTCCCAATTTCCTCATTTTCCATCTGAATCTATACCTTTAATTTTTCTCTGCCTCCTGAAAATTGACCCAGCATCCCATTTAGGGAAACAAAGGCTATTATTCCCTCAATTCAGACCCTGTTGGAGAAATCAGAGAGGGATTCCCCTCGATGAGGGAGGCTTTTCTGAGGAAGGCCTCTGGTGTGTCAGCCCTGGCAGTGCTGTCAGGGGTCCTGTGGGTTAGTTATTTCTATCACTCCCTCTCCCATGCCATCTGTGACACTTGCTATGGTGCCATAGGTTTGGGTATAGAAAGCTGCTTTCTCATAGGCTGCCTCTCCCCCTGGCATCATGCCTGCAGCCTGAAGAGCTGCCATCAGGGAGATGGCTGCGTGGACCACATGCTGGCTCTTCGCATGTGTGGAAAGCTGAAAGAGAAGACTGTCATGAGCCAATCAGTGTTTTGTTTTGCTTTTTAATTTAGAGAAAATTCAATTCAATTCTTAAAATAGTAGAATTTAAAACTAAGTAACAGTTTATGCTTAAAAATAATAATCTAGTCCATTTTAAATGAATTCTGTAGCATGTGTTTTCCTGTATTAAAAAGGCAACTATTCACTGTCACTCTGATGCGGATTGGCTGTGTTCCCACCCGAACCTCATCTTGAACAGCAATAATCCCCATGCATCAAGGGTGGGACAAGGTGGAGATAACTGAATCATGGGGATTGTTCCCCCATGCTGTTCTCATGGTAGTGAGTTCTCAAAAGATCTGATGGTTTTATAAGGGGCTTCCCCTTCCCTTGGCACTCATTCTCCCTCCTACCACCATGGAAGGGACATGCTTGCACCCCTTTTCTCCATAAGTGTAAGTTTCCTGAGGCCACCACAGCCAAGCTGAACTGTAAGTCAGTTAAATTTCTTTCCTTTATAAAATACCCTGTCTTGAATATGTCTTTATTAGCAGTGTGAGAACAGACTAGTACACACTCTTATCTTCAAAAGATAAAGTCTTGTTTCCTCAATCTCCTATAAACTGTATGTCAGCAAGGCAGCATGGCCTGGTGGCTGGGAGCAGAAACCTGCAGCCAGACTGCCTGGGATTGATTCCCAGCACTGTGACCTTGCATAAGGGACCTAAACTCTCTACTTCTCAGTTTTCGTACCTGTAAAATGAGGATCATAATGGTGCCTACCTTGTGGTGTTATAACAAAGATTAAATGAGTCCATATAGGTGGTGTGTACTGACAGTGCCTGGCATACAGTAAATGTTCACTAAATAGGGTCACAGGCAGAGAGAAACATTAATTTTCTTCCTTAAATTTCCTAACTCTTAGGGAGTCATAACTTAAATGATTCTGATTTATCTAGCCCTTACTCATCAGCTTTCTCTTTAATTCCTAACTTCGAATATACTGTATTTGAAACAATACATTTTACCAACAATAGCTATATATGCATAACCATATACATGTATATATACACACATATATATATAAAACAAAAGTTTTACATCAATGTTTACCCTTACTGCATGTGATAGTCTGGCATGCATATATTCTATTCTATTTCATTTTCTTTCTATATTAATCATAACCCACCATATTGACTTCACAATCCACTAACCTGCATCTGAAAAATAATGCACTATAGTAAAGAAACTGCTTATTCCCTCCAAAATTGCTGCTTCTCTGTCTCCACAACTTCAAGATATGGATTGCAGTTGCTGGTGACTTTAAATCAAATTTTGAACCCAATATATGCCCCAGTCCCTATTTAAATAATCTGTAAGAACACAGTAATTATAACTTTGTATATATGGCTTAAAGTCAAACACAATACTTATAATTCCATAAAGATGGCTTCACATCTTACCTCTGCAAATTGTTGCCTGTGTTAACTGCATAAAAGTGACTACGGCTGGTTGCAGTGACTTATGCCTATAATCCCAACTACCTGGGAGGCTGGGGCAGGAAAGTAACTTGAGGGTAGAAGTTTGAGACCAGCCTGAGCAACACAGCAAGATTCTGTTTAAAAAGCAAAAATTAACCATCCAAGTGGGGTGGTACATGCCTCTAGTCCCAACTACTCAGGAGCCTGAGGCAGAAGGATCACTGATGCCTAGGAGTTTAAGGCTGCAGTGAGTTTGGTCATGCCACTGCACCACTCCAGCTTGAGTGACAGAGGCAGAATCCATTTCTAAAGAAAGAAAAAAAGTTGACTTATCTGTTAATTGGGATAATAACTACCTCCCAGAGATGTTGAAACAATTTTAAAAGAAGCTGTGTATTAAGTACATAGTGAAGTGCCTGATATTCAGTTAATGGCAACTGTTGTAATTACTGGTCTTTTAAACATAGGGTTGTTCTCTTGCTATTGAGTTATTTACATATTTTGTATATTAGCCCCTTATTCTATGAAAAGAATTGCAAATATTTTCTCCCAATCTGTGGGTTGTCTCTTCATTCTGTTGATTGCTTCCTTTGTTGTGCAGAAGTTTTTTACTTTGATACAATCCCATTTGTCTATTTTTGCTTTTACATGTGCTTTTGGGGCCATATCCAAGAAATCATTGCCCAGGCCAACTTTGTGAAGCTTTCCCCCTAAGGTTTCTTCTAGTAGTTTGATGGTTTCAGGTCTTAACATTTAAGTCTTTAACCCATTTTGATTCTTGCATAAGGGGTCAGATAAGGGTCCATTTCCAATCTTCTGCATGTGGATATCTAATTTTCTCAACACTGTTTATTGGAGAGACCATCCTTTCCCTATTAAGTGTTCTTGGAACCTTTGTCAAAAATCAGTTAATTGACTGAGACCTGTTAGTTCAGTTCTGAGCTCTCTATCCTATTTAGTTGGTTGATATGTCTGTTTTAATTCCAGCTGTTTTAATTCCTACAGCTTTGTAATGCTATCTCAAAATTAGGACAAATGACCCTGTTAAAAAATGTGCAAAATGCCCAAACAGACATTTCTCAAAAGAAGACATATAAATGACCAGTAGATACATGAAAAAATAACGTCACTAATCATCAGAAAAATGCTAATTAAAGCCACAATGAGATATCACCTCACACCTGTTAGAATGTCTGTTGTCGAAAACAGGAAACTTAAGTGTTGGCTAGGGTGTGTAGAAAAAGGGAACCCTTGCACACTGCTGATCGGAATGTTAGTATAGTCATTTTAGAAAACAGTATGGAGCTTCCTCAAAAAAACTGAAAAGAGAATTACCATATGATCCAACAATCTCACTTCTGGGTATATATCCAAAGGAACTGAAATTAGTATGTCAAAGAATGTCTCCACTTTCATATTCACTGCAGCATTATTCACAGTAGCCAAGATACAGAAACAGCCTTAGTGCCCATCAACAGATGAATGGGTAAAAACAATGTGGCATATATACACAATGGAATATTCATTTCAGCCTTATTCAATTCAGCTTTAAAAAAGAAATAAATTCTGTTACTTACAACATGGATGAATACAGACAACATTATGCTAAATTAGCCATGCACAGAAAGACAAATACCACATGATCTCAGTTATATGTAGAATGTAAAAAAGTCAAACTCACAGAAGTAGCGAGTACAGTGGTGATTGCCAGAGGCTGGTGGGAAAACAGGGAAAAGAGTCAAAAGGTTCAAAGCTTTAGTAAGGGATAATAAGTTCCTGTGATCTGCTGCACAGCATGGTAACTATAGTTCATAATAATGTATTGTATATTTCAAAATTATGAAAAGAATATATTTTAAATGGTCTTACTGCAAAAAGAAATACATATGTGAGGTAACAGACATGTTAATCAGCCTGATTTGACCATTCCACGAAGTACACATGTATCAAAATATCACACTGTACCCATAAATATATAGAGTTATTACTTGTCAATTAAAAAAATTAAAATGGCCAGGCAAGGTGGCTTATGCCTGTAACTCCAGCACTTTGGGAGGCTGAGGCAGGTGGATCACTTGAGGTCAGGAGTTCGAGACCAGACTGGCCAACATGATGAAACCATGTGTCTACTAAAAATAGAAAAATTAGCCAGGCATGGTGGTGGGTGCCTATAATTCCAGTTACTTGGGAGGCTGAGGCAGGAGAATCGCTTGAATCTGGAAGGCAGGGGCTACAGTGAGCTGAGATCACACCACTGCACTCCAGCCTGGGCAACAGAGCAAGACTCCACCTCAAAAAAATTTTTTAACAAAAATGATAAAAATTACTTGGCCTTTACCAAGGACTACATAAGGTTCTCACTGATGGTTTTCAATCATAGCTACATTATCAAAATCCCTTATAGAGGGTTTTTAATTTCCACATGCCTGAGCCTCCCTCCATATTTGTTAAATTTTCCAAGATGAGGACCAGACAAGACAACACAGGTGAGACCACACAACAGAATTCCAGATCAGATTCAACCGGAAATACAGATCTTACCTAATGGCTCAAATGATACAGACAACAGCAAAATATGAGTCATTCTCCCCTTGGAGAGTGCTAAAACTGTCAGGCACAGGTGCCCATAAATGTTCTTTTCTTGTATAAAGATGCATGTTAGTCCAGACTGAACATGAAAGGTGGAAGCAATGGGTGAAGTGCATTGCTTGAACACAAAGATCCATTTTTGTTATGGAACATTTGCTAGTTATACACCATTGGTTACATAGCTTATGTGACATTTTCCAGCAGGCTGTACCCCACAAATTCATAAACTTTAGGTTTTTTTTTTTTACAGTAAACAACCTAGCCAGATCTGGTCCATCCTGCTAAAAGCATACCATCGTTAAGGACTCTACAGCAAGTAAATACACCACCATTATTTTGCTTGCCAGAAAGTGAGTCATTAGCATGTTACCAAAGGGCCTGGTACAAAGCTTTTCTTCTCAATAGTTGATACAGATTATAAGGACTGGGTCCACTAAACCATACCTTTTCACCTTTCCTAGTTTCAGATTAGCATTTGAGAACTCATTTGAATACAATTTCTTTCAAACAAATATAGGTAGGGTTCGATACTCAGGATGTCCCAAAATTCTTGGGGTAATTCCAAGCATTAAATAGCATTAAACCAATATTTAAATAGCTTAAAACTGCCCCAAGACTGTTGGCATCCTGTTTATTTCATTTTTTGAATGAGAAAATTGAAGCTATATTTGCTTATTGGAGGAGGAGGTGATTTTTTTTTTGAACAAATAAAACCACAAATGCAGTCTTCCAGTAGCCATAACTCAGAAGTGGTGGAACCATGTTTCCACATGGTAGGCACTCAGTTCTCTCAAGTGGCATGCTATCATATGCTTATCCAAATGCAAATGATGTATATAATCCATGTTTCTGCAGATACTCCATTGATAGAAGCAGTGACCCTGGAAGATTTTTCTATGTTGACATTACAACAGGTGCCCTAATGACTGCAAGACCCCTGGATCGGGAAGAATTTTCTTGGCATAATATCACTGTCCTTGCTATGGAAATGAGTAAGTAGCATAATAAATTGGTCTCCATGCAGTGGCAAAATATAGGCAGTATAGAAAGTGAAAGTTTCTAGAACTTGTTGCGACAAAAATTACATCCTTTAAGAGAAGAAATGGAAGTCATGATTTATGCAAGTAAGTAAATGTATTTAGTGCAAATACTTTTTTGAGGATCTCCTATATACTTAGTCCCGTGCTAGAGATAAAAGCAAACAAAACATGGAAAAGTAGTAAAAGATAGCATTCTTATCCCAAGCAGCTATGAGGAAAAGGGAAGATTCCTGAGAAATTTAAGGGGCTTTCAATCTTTAATATAATTGTGAATGTACAAAGAGTATAAAATATCATTGTATGAAAGGAAGCATTTATAACATATCACTCTTACTATACACACATATACATATCCAGGCCCACAAGAATCTGAGACATGTTACAATAAAAGGAAGGCAAACTGATGAACATAACAAACTTGTAAATGGAATGGAAGATTAATAAGAACTAGATTAATATATATTATAAACAATAAAAATTATCGATTATACACTACTACATTCCTTTTTTTTTTTTTTTTTTTTTTTTTCATAATATTGGTGACGGTAAAGGCTTAAAAAATGGCAGTCCCTAACCTACTGGCTATATAATTAACAGCCATTCAGGAGGGCAGCTTGGCAATATGTATTGAGATTCTCCAAAATACTCATACTCCTCTCAGGAATTCTATGGTCAATCATCATATTAAAAAAATAATGACAGATATCAACAAAGATTTACATATGAAAATTCCCACTGCCATGGTATTTTAAAACAGGGAGAAAACGGAAATTACTTAAATGTCTACAAATAGGAGATTAAATAAATTATGGTACAACCTATAGTAAAATGACAATATAATACAGACATCAACACCCATGCTTTCAAAACATATTCAGTGACAAAGGATAACCTTACCCTAAAATATTAATGTTCTGAATTTGATTTTTCTGTTTTGCTTAACTGTAACTTGTATGTCGAGGGAGGGTGTATAGCTCCAATTTTAGACACCCATGCTATATAATGTCACATATCTAATGGATGTCTCTGGTGGTAGGATTGTGAATCATATTCATCCTATGCTTTTATGAAATTTTCATCATTCCTTAGACAAATACCACTGTTATAATGAAGAAATAAATGTTAATTTTGTTAGCACATTCTGGTAACCAATCAATAGAAGTGTTTAGCGGGAAAACAGTAGAACATAGATATTTTGGGGAGAGAAAAAGAGAAAAATATGATCCAGAAGAACAGTACATTTTGGGATTTAGTATACTTATTAACCAAGAGTAATTCCTGTCTCTTGCAATTTCTGTTTTGTCTCCTTGAGTTGGTGACCAAAACAGAAAAAGATAGGAGGGGCACTACCAGAGCTGTGAAATTGTCTCTGCATGGCAGTGCCAAGCAAAAGACACAGACCACAAAGACACAGTTCCCCATAAGTGACTATGAGCAACTTCTGCCCCAACCAAAGCTATGGATTTGGTGTGTGTTTGAACCTGCAATACCCTGTCGCTAAGCAGAAATAAATGTGTAGTGTTATCTTTATTCCAGTGAATAACTTGAAACCTTTGCAAATGTAATTCAAAGAACGAATGATTCCACAGGAATAAAACCAGCAATGCCACCCAGTATGCATCCAACTGGCAATGGGCTCTTTTAAAGCCCAGAATAAAACTGACTTGCCTTTAATTCCAGAACTTGAAGTCTGAGCCAAACGAGAGGATGAAAACCCTTTTTAAGATTCATTTTTTGACACTGGCTCCCTCTGTCCCACCCTTCCCCTCACACTGCTGATAGCAAACGCTCACCAACACACACCTTGTTCTGTCCAAACTCCTCATGTCTGGCCACATTGTTAGTAGGCAACATAGGATCCTATGCTCTTGCTACCATCTCCAGGTACTTTATCTGCTCCTTTCAACACAGACTCACCAGGTAAATACCTACTTCTAGTAACAACCATTGCTTTTCTTTTTTTTTTTTTTTTTTTTTTTTTGGCATTACTAAACTCTCACGTTTGGCTTCCTTGTGTTCTCTTTAGACAATCCCTCCCAGGTTGGAAGTGTTCCTGTCACAATCAAAGTCTTAGATGTGAATGACAATGCTCCAGAGTTCCCCAGATTTTATGAAGCTTTTGTCTGTGAGAACGCCAAGGCAGGACAGGTAAGGTGGCCTGTGGGTGGTACACATTGTTAACCCTAATGATTGAAAACGATGTTACAGATAACCAAGTTCACCGTCAAAGCTGTTTTGACTCCAAAAACCAACAGTTCACAAAACAGAGTCCCCAATTCCCATTTATCAGGTTTCAACCATTTATTTGTTAAGACAACTATTTGAGATGAGGTGTGGTGGCTCATGCCTGTAAAACCAGCATTTTTGGAGGCCATGGCATGAGGATAGTCTGAGCCTAGGAGTTTGAGACCAGCCTGGGCAACACAGTGAGACCCCATCTCTAAAAAAGTAAAAAAAAAACAGAAAGACAACTATTTGGAACCTACATTACCTTTTATGGCTTAAACAGCACTTTGAGGGTGGCTTAATACACAGAATAGCTGCATAAGGTTTGTGCCCACCTGGAAACTGAATTGTGTAGCACCAGTGGTGATATCTGCTCTGGGGCCTGAAAGCGTCAGGTAGACCAGGAAAAGGAAGAAAAAGCTGCTCTTTTTTGAGTGTGGTACCAATTCCTCAAAATATTTTGCATCAGGGCAAGTTTATTTTCTATATCTTTCCACTTCCCTTTTTTAATTTCGGGCAAGAAATACCTTATTTAGGGACTGCCTGGCCTATCTCAGAATGCTGCCACCTAGAATGACCTACCCTCTCTTCTCCCTCAATTAAAACATGCACATTCTTAGTGCTGCTCATGTCAGCTAACTTTTGAGAGGAAAGTAATCTGAAGGGACAAAGGTCTACTTACTTGAAATACAGCTTCATAATCTTCAGAGACATATTAGTATATTTTTAAAAGTATGCCCTTAAACCTAACTGAATATTTAGTTGATGAGATTCTAACTGAACAACAATTAGAATTTGAGAAACTCTGGAACTCCATTTGGAGTGCCCATGTAGTAATTCATGTGTCAGGCTGTTGCCTACCCTACAATTTGTCCGATTATATCCTCCATTCTGTTACTGCTTTTATAAGATGCTTTCCTCCCCTGCCTATGACCCAGCAACCTGACAGATCCCCTAATAGTGATCATTTACTCCCCTTCCCCACCCCAGTATATCCTGTGGTCCTATGGATGCTGGTTCTGGATCAAATGGATTGGGATGGTTTTAACATGAAAGCTGGAGAAGTACATGTTGATAAGGCAGGGGCTCATGTGTTGGTAATTCAGGCCTCTGACTGTACTCCAACTTTGCCTGCATGTAGTAGTCCATTTTCATGTTGCTGATAAATACCCAAGACTGGGTAATTTATACAGAAAAAGAAGGTTAATGGACTCACAGTTCCATGTGGCTGGGAAGGACTCACAATCGTGGGGGAAGGCAAAGGGAACATCTTACTTAGTGGCAGGCAAGACAGAATGAAAGCCAAGTGAAAAGGGAAACCCCTTATAAAACTATCGGCTCTCATGAGATTTATTCACTATCATTAAAACAGTATGGGGGAAACCACCCCCATAATTAAATTATCTCCTATCGGGTCCCTCCCAAAACATGTGGGAATTATGGGAGCACAATTCAAGATGAGATTTGTGTGGGGACAAAGCCAAACTATATCACTTCACTTCTCTCACTCCCTTGGAGCCGGACCTCCAGCACCTTGCTGCACAGAGAGACTAGGTCTGCATGACCAAAACTTACGTCAGCACCCTGAACTCACCAAAGATGGATTCAACACATCTTTACCATTTACTCAGCCAAAGCAAAAAGTGATTTACATCCCTCAGGGGAAGAAAGATGTTCTATCATGATTCTGATCTAAATTCATCTATCAATCCTTGAAATTTGGTACAGTGGCCTATAGCCCTCCTAAAAAAATTTTTTTCAACAAGTCTAGGATAATTCTCCTTCCACATCTAGTGAACTTCTAGTCTAGTAAGACCTGAAATATTATGCAGCTAATAAAAGCTACAATGTAGACTTCACAGCACAAGAAATGATCCATGTTATTATTATAAGTAACAAAAGGAGGCGTAAAAACTATGCATACATGTTTGCAGTCATGTAAAATTATGACTGCAAGTGAACAATGATTGAGAGGGAAGATGCAAAAAAAGTATAGTTACTGTGCTAAGGTAGGTGAGTTTAAGTGAGGAGGTTTGGGTCTTTAATAATTTTATTTCATATTATAATAAAATATATATGTAATATAAAAATTTTTGTTATAAAATTATATGAATATTGTGTTATGATGAAATAAGCTAATTTTAAACTATAATACACACAGGGTGATAAGTAGCACTGTAAATTAAACTTCTTTTCCCCAAAATAAACTACTCCCTTTTAAAGGGCTTCAGAATAGAAGTTACATTCTGACAAGTGAAGAGCATTTTAACTCTGTCTCCTGTTGCTGTAGTCAGACAAAACATAGTCCCCCCTTCTAAATGCATCTTTTGATGGTCTGTTATACAGTGCTCTGAAGCACAGTCTGTCCCATTTGTCACCTTTAGACCAAGATACTGAAAATCCTACCATTTGATCTGGGCTCTGGGAAATGTTTTGAAGATTTTTCAAAAGCATGCAGTATAGAGATACATCTGGCTCATAAAGAATCAGCCTCCTTGTGTTTACGTTGGACACTGTCGTCGGCTTCACATCTGAGAAGTCCAGATACATGCCTTCCTCTTAGTAAGCAGCCTTGAAGGAAGCTCATAAATCAGATAACATACTTAGTGATGGCCAGCGGTGGAAGGAAACCAGCTGAGCAGAATATTGCATGACAAGTGAGACTGAGGAAGAAATCTGACCTGCCAGGAGAATACAGAGGAGAGTAGGCCATGTGCTCCCAACCCAGACCTAGCGATTTGCGTCTTCACTCACTCACGCTTTGAAGCCCTACAACCAACCAGCTCTGTGCCTCAGGCTCCAATCTCACAAATATATACACAATACGCAGGCCAGATGTTCTGAAAAACTTTCCCAACTATGTTTATCAAGTTATGTAAAATCACCTATGTATGACATGCCTCAAGAAATATATTACCTCTATATGCGTTTGGCACTGCAAGCAAGCTGAAAAGTTCTGGCTCTATCTCCAGGCAGGGATAGGACAGGAGGATAATCCTGGAGTGCGAGCAGCACTGACACGAGGATCTCTTGTGGGCAACTTGATCTCCATGACTCTCCTAACCTGCACCTTCCTTGCATCTCCATTCCCCCTACTTTCAGGTTCAATAGTTGGGATCTCCAGGAGGCATACCCCGAGATGGAGTTCCAGTATAAGGTGTTTACTAAGGAGGGCCCTTGGGGCCAGCACCTGTGGGAGGGAAGCGAAGGAAGCAGGACTGGGCAAAAGAAGTCCAGCTGCAATGCACACTAACTAACTGCCTCAGCTGACTTCTCAGAGAGTTCCAGAACTAGAGGTTCCCCAATTTGAGTGGGATGGCCAGGCCTGTATACTATCACATTAGTCAGTCACTGGACATCCATTTCCCTGGAAGGATGTGGTGACCATGGGCATCTTAGTCAGTTTGTACTGCTACAAAGGATTACCTGAAGCTGAGTAATTAACAAAGAAAAGAGGTTCATTTGGCTCACCGTTCTGCAGGCTGTACAAGAGGCATGGCGACAGCGTCTGCCTCCAGGGAGGGCCTCAAGCTGCTTCCAAACATGGAGGAAGGGGGAAGGAAGCTGACATGCGCAGATCACATGGTGAGAGGAAGCAAGGCAAGGAGGGAAAGGTGCCAGGCTCCTTGTACCAGCTAACACAGAAACAAAGAGAGCAAGAACTCACTCATTACCAGGAGGACCGCACCAAGACATTCATCAGGAATCCACCTGGGTGACCCCACCTCCCACTCAGGCCTCACCCCCAACACTGGGGATCAGATTTCAACATGAGATCTGGAGGGGTCAAATATCCAAACCACAGGAGTGGGTAGGTGGCTCTCTGCAACTGGCAATCGCCAAAGGAACTGGCAGATGATGGCTGGCGGAAAAGTCCATCACTTAACGGGGATCTGAGCATCATGGTGTCCAAAAGGCCCCCTGCTAGGAGCTCCCCCGACCCCTACCCCATTACTTAATCTTCAGCATATTGTGAGGGTAGTTTTACCTCCCCTAATTTACAGCTGAAGAAATACAAGCTAAGCAAGCCCACCCAGGCCCTCAAACTGACCTTTGACATCTTGGTTCCTATGCTGGTAGAAGCATAGTTGGCTTTCAAACAGCAGGAGTGGCAAGTCTACAGGGCCGGTCCCAAGATGGGTAGGAGTAGTCGGTGCCATTTCTTGGTACAAGAGAAAACACGTATGAAGGAGGCTGCCGTTCAATGCCTCTTCTGTATCCCCGTCAGCCTGCCGGCTACTGTTCTAGTCATCTGTTTCACACGGATTTCTTTAATAGCTTTTACATCATGGTCTCCACAGACGTCCTGCAACTTACTCCTTTGAAAACCATTACAGAAAAAGCAAAACTTGGCCAATGAGTCCGAGAAGAAGCCACTTGACCTCCTGTTCTCTCCGCCCCCGAGTTCTGCTTCTGACTCGTCTATTCTGCCTTTCCCACTCTAGGGATCCTGTGCTCTCTACCTTCACTAGCTCTCCCTCCTGCCAATAAAATGTGACTCCCTGTGACCCATTCCCTCATGTCTGTTTTCTGTTAACCTGACGTGGCCAATGCCGATGTGTTACTTCCCTTCAGGTCATGGTCATTCTTAAGTAGGAGCTTCTCAAAGACAGTAATGTAGCCCTGAAATACTGGGTCAGTGATGAGGTTAAGCAGACAAAGTGAGAGGAAAATGTGGGGTCAAGCAGGACTTTGTGGCACCCAAGCCCTTTAGACTGTGTAGAAACAGCTGGCCGCGGTGGAAGAATGTAAGTTATATTGCTGTCTAACCTCTGAAGTATTTAGGTCAACATTTATCCTATGCCTACACTAACATACTCGGGCCCAACCATAATGCAAAATTAAATCTCGAGGTAGGTGATAGCAGGGAGATTCTGCAGGGAAGTTTCTTATAAAACGGGAAAGTTCCCTTATCCGTACCCCACACCCCCACACCCCCACACCCCCAAACCCCCATCCCCCAACACCTGCCCCAGTAGGACAGGGTAGTGGGCTGCTGCTCAAACCCTTAGGGGGAGCAGGCAGATAAGCAGGTGCAGAAGCCTTGGGGAGCACTTTTGGGCTCTGGCCCCACGGTAGCGTCTAGGACTCCAGAAGCCCAAGTGGGCGTGTGTCACAGTGTGCTCTTTCAGCTATGCCATATTAGCTCAATAGACCCTCTGCCTTATCACAGGACAGAAAGCCAGTGTGACAGCCTGAGTTCTTGCCCATGTACTAGACAATCACACGTGGGCTGGAAGGTTTAGTGCAAGGTTTACTGAGTGGTGGAGGTGGCTCTCAGTGAGATGGATGGGGAGCCGGAAGTGGGTGGTGGAGTAAGAAGGTGGTCTTCCCCTGGATTCAGGATGCCCAGTAGCCAGAATCTTTTCTGATTATCCTGTGCTGAACTCCCCTCAGCATCCATATCATTCTACTGGTGCTAGTCTGCCGGTGTCTGCTGGTGTCTGCCGGTGTCTGCCGGTGTCTGCCGTGTCTGCTGGTGTCTGCCGGTGTCTGCTGGTGTGCTCCTCTTCTCAACATCCAGCTGCTTGTGTCTGTGCCTACTAACATCTCAGGTTTTTATGGGTACAGAATGATGGGTGTGGCAGCCAGAGTGGTCCTGGAAAATGCAACATTTGGGCCTGGAAACAGGAGTACCTGTTCTTACTTAGATCTGTGGACATAGGCCAGAGGGTGGAGCCCTACCCACGGACCATGCCCTTCTCTATCCAGAACTTCCCTGCTCCTCTCCCATATCAATGATATCCTTCTTATTAGGTAAAACAACCCACCATCGCGTTTCCAGATTTGGGATTTAACTGGGCCCTGGTGCTTTTTCCTTTGACTCCAGCTCACCTGATTTCATGTCCTTTCCTCAGCTGATCCAGACAGTGAGTGCAGTGGACCAAGATGACCCACTCAATGGCCAGCATTTCTACTACAGCTTGGCTCCTGAGGCTGCTAACAACCCCAACTTCACCATAAGGGACAACCAAGGTAATCAGGTGGATAGTTAGCTATGTTTTTCTACAATGTAGATCGGCTACTTTGGGTTACTGTCTTATGCAAACAGTGTCAAAGGCTACCTGCTCCTTAACAGCAGGGAGGACTTTAATAATTCACAATGTCCTTTTTTTTGAGATGACGTCTATGTTGGCCAGGTTGGTCTTGAACTCTTGGCCTCAAGCAATCCTCCTGTTTCAGTCTCCCAAAGTGTTAGGATTACAGGTGTGAGCCACTCCACCCAGCCTCACAGTATCTTTTAAAGTTTTGTTTCAGAATACCAAACATAAATAACCCTTTGCCAACTCTAAAACTCATCAGTCAGTAAGTCGACAGATGTTTACTGAGCCCCTGTCCTGTGCTGGAAACACTGCAAAGCACAGAGGCAAAATCCTTCATTCCCACCGGCAGCAGCCCTATTCACATGTTCTGTAACAATGGGAAGAATCTGAGAAATAAGAAAGTGACCTAGATTAAAAAGAAAAAAACCTGGGGGAACATTTCTAAGCAGAGATCAAAGCAGGAAACAGTAAAAAGCTCTCCAAACAAAAAGGAGACAAAGGGTAAGTAAAAGAGATAACAAAAGGGCAAATACAGGACCATTGGCACTGAAACAGCTTTATTACTTCAGGATGATTCAGAGACACACTTTCAGGTAGGCTTCCCTGTCCAGAAAATGCTCCCCGCTATAGCTTTGATGGAATAGAATTCTAGACCCCTCTTTTCCAACAAGCATTCAGATCAGCTAAGGGGCTTATGGACCCAGCACACTCTTATTTAGGCCCAGATGGGAAAAGGAAGGACTTTTGTTCTCTAGCCAGTTGATTTGCTTCAAAAGAATAAAAAAGGTCAGGGCAATGGAAAAAATAAGTTAAACTGTCAAATGAACCTCATCTGTTGTTAACTCTGCTGCCAGCTAGCCATCTGACCCTGGGAAGGTCATCACTTCTCCAGATTGCAGTAGCGTCATTTTCTTTCCAGTTCTAAAATATGAATTGCCACTTTGTAAAACAAAGGGTAACAAAAAGTCATGATTAGATTAGGCACACCTGACTTTAATCTCAAACATCAATTATTTGAGATTAAAAGTATTACTTCAACCCCACATGACAGTTTTCTGCTGTAAAAATTGAGAATCTCAAACCTGTTTTCTTCTAAATGGGAACACATTCTTCTAAGTCATGCCTTCAACCTCCTACATGTCATCATAAAACGACTATAAAAATTCTGGAAGGAATGGCAATATGAATTATAAAGGCAGAAATACTTCAATTAAATATCCTGAAGTTGTTATTGAGTCAAAATTTTGAACTATTCATTCATCTGCTTCGTAGGGAAACTTTCTGCAAAAAGTGGTTTCAGCTTCCATAGGACTGTTTCATAAAGGCAACCCTGGGGGAAAAAAATAACCCATTATAACACATTATATTTTTTCTTTAACTGTTCAGCTAAGCCATCACTCTAATGAGTGAAACAAAATGCAGCAAAATGTTGAAAATTTCTTAAAGATGACTTTGGGGACCAAGTTATGGAACCAATTCCTTAAAAAGATGGGCCACTGGCACAGGACAACTATAATAAGATGTAACTCATCTCTTAGAAGGTTTCCCAAAACAGAAGTCAGCACATCTTCAACAGAAAGCATGAACTCTTAATCTCCAAATGACAATTTATCCCATGAGTATCCTTTACTGAGGCTCATTTAAAAACTGACCAAGTCTAGGCAGTGGCTCATGCCTGTTACCCCAACACTTTGGGAGGCTGAGGGAGGAGAAATGCTTGATGTCAAGCATTCAAGACCAGCCTTGGCAACACAGCAAGACCCCAACTCTGCAAAACATTTTTTTTAAAAATTAGCCAGGCATGGTGGCACACACCTGTTATCCCAGCTAGCTGGGAACCTGAGGCGGGAGGATCACTTGAGGACAGGTGTTTGAGATCAGCCTGGGCAACACAACAAGACACTATCTCTACCAATTTTTTTTTTAATTAGCCAGACATGGTGGCATGCACCTGTAGTCCCAGCTACTTGAAAGGCTGAAGTGAGAGGATCACTTGAGCCCAGGAGTTCAAGGCTGCAATGAGCTATGGTCAAACCACTGTACTTCAGCCTGGGTGACAGAGCAAGATCCTGTCTCTGAAAAAACCCAACACAACAAAAACAACAAAAACTGACTAACATCTTACAGGGCAGATCTACTGTCAACTACCTCTGTTCCCGTGCCTGAAACATGATGTCCTTTCATAAACATAACAGGGCACTATCTCAAGTAAAGTCTTTTTTTACTTTTTAGCCCCAAAACATTATGAAAAGAATTATGTGCATATAGTATTTTACAGTTTCAAAAGTATTTTCCCATACCTTATTTGATATTTACAATAATTCTGTGAGGCTTTAAGGAAGTTACTAATCCCTCTGATTCTTATTGTCCCATCTGATGGATGAGGAAAGTAAGCAAATGGCCCAAGACCAGAGAGTCAACAAGCACTAAAATTGGGACTAGAAATTGGGCCTGTTTTACTACGCCCCCCACCACAACACCCCCTGCCCCTCCACACACAAAGTGTTCTGTGTCACCTTAGGAAAAAATGCTATTTCCAAGTAAGTTACTAAAGCCGTACTTATCACATTCAACGAAAATTTTCCAAGTGGCTAGTATAGGCCAGACTCCTTCCAGCACTGGATTTAGCAATGTGATGTTCTGATATTTCTCTTCAATCTTAAATAATTCTTAGATGTAGAAACATATGTCATAGATATAATAATTTTATGAATTTCAGCTCTAGACTGTCTTTCTAAAAGTCTTATGATCTCACCTGGATTAAACCAAAGAATTTTAAAAAACAGTTCTCATTACAGAGAAAAATTTAATTTCTGGGGAAAAAGAAAACAATTAAAACTACAAAGTGGAATCAGTAGTACTTAGCTATTAAGTATGGAAAACAGAAAGGTGTGTGGGTCGTGTGGTAGGTGGAAATATGAATATAATCCTCAGGTCGGCATCCTTTCTCTTCTGAGAAGAAAGTAAGAAGTAGCTTGTATCAAAGCAGGAAGAGATTATGCTTATCTGAGTATTTTTTGAAAGTTAGTATTACTAAACTAAGCAGTTATATAGCACAATGGAAGGTGTGCATGTTTTGGAGACAGACCAAAGTTCAAATCCCAGCTCTGCTACTAACTAGGTTAGTGACTTCAAACAAATAATAAAATCATTCTAGGCCTTACTTCTATTTCTGAAAAGGAGTAAGATTATTACTGTCTCACCAAATTGTGAAGATAGAATGAGATACTGCATGCAAAGTGCAGGTACATGGCACAGGAGCCTTTAGTAACAATAGCTGTTAGCATAAAAAGCAGGGGGGAGGAGGAAAAGTTAATTAAGGGGTAATGTGTTAGTCAGAATAGCCCAGGTTATGCTATAGGAACAACTACCACAAAAATCTCAGTGGCTTAGCACAACTGCAGTTAATTTCTTGTTCACTGCAGCCTACTGTGAGTCTGAGCTTAGTGTCCTGGGCTGCCCGGCTCTGCATTGCACACCCTGTGGTTCTTTTGTCTGTAACTACAGCAAGGAAAGAGCATGAAGACTCACACATCAGCTCATACAGACTTCTGCCTAGAAGGAACACAAATTACTACTGCTCAGCAACTAAAGCAAATCACACAGACATATCCAAATCTAAGGGCACAGAAAACTAAAATCCTTTATTATGTTCAAAAAGGGAAGAAGAACCAGAAATATTGATGATCACTAACAATGTTTACTTTGTTTAGGCTCTCAGAATTTTTGGTGATGTTCTAGGCTCTTTCCTATGAACTATGAAACACATCCACAGGACCTCTGTGCTGGTGGTATTAGCTTTGAAAATCACTTCTTGTATGTCCTACCACATCTCTCAATTTTTCCTCTGCAGAAAATAATCTGAGCTTTGCAAAAGTATATCTACTTTAGAATTCAAACCTACTCCAGGAAACTAGAAATGAAAAAATCCCACAACACAATATATGAATATAAATGTAAATACACACACCCTAATTTTGTATAAACACATCTAATAATTTGACTAATCCTCTTTAAAACTGGAGGAAAGATTTCTAGTATTGATCAGGAACAAATTTTCACCAGGTTCATATTAACTGCTTCAAGTTAGTCCACCAACTCAGGAGAAATAACAAGGTATGTCACATGATTAGGGGATTTCAAATAAGCTTCTACTAAATGAGCAGGTTCTTTAGGAAACACATGAGGAGTTGGTGCTTGCATTTCAGAGGCATAAAAGAAAACAGTAAAAGACGTGAATTCCAGCCAAAGTGGCAAAAATAAGCAATCTGCCACAGCCACATGGGTTCCTCAGCATTCTTTTCCTGGAGGCACAAAGCAGCAACGGGGCCTTGGCAAGCTGCTGAGCAGGAACAAACAGGGACCACAAGTCACCAATGATCGTTCATTTCTGTCAAGCTTTCCCAGGGACATTTTTGTAGATCTGAAGTCTGACAGTTTGCCTTGGGCACTCTATGTCACAAAGGGTAAGACAGACTCAAAAAAAGCCTTTCTCTTCTAGGCCTCAGGGTTTTGCCTAAAAGCAAGCAAAAAGTGTGGTTTCTGAATCCAAATGCTGATCCCGGCAAACCTGCCATGGCTGACCAGCACCAGGGAATATTTGACTACCCTCTCTCCTTCCTACACCCTGCACCTGCCCCCCTGCTTTCCTCAATCCAAGAAATTAATTCATCTTCCCTTTTCCAATCCTGGAACCCCTTGCTTCTTTCAGATAACACAGCCCGGATTCTAACCAGAAGGTCTGGTTTCCGGCAGCAGGAGCAAAGTGTCTTTTACCTGCCCATCCTGATAGCAGATAGCGGGCAGCCTGTGCTGAGCAGCACAGGTACCCTGACCATCCAAGTGTGCAGCTGTGATGACGACGGCCACGTCATGTCCTGCAGCCCAGAGGCCTACATGCTCCCAGTCAGTTTGAGCCGGGGTGCCCTCATTGCCATCCTGGCCTGCATCTTCGTCCTCTTAGGTGAGTAAGGAGATGCTTTCCCTTCTGCGGAGTTCTGCCAGTGCCTACTCAGACATCCGTTCATTACCATCCTGACACAGCTATTCAGAACTGGCCTTCCACACCTTGCTTACTGAAAAGGTAGTACAGTGAGGCTGCAAAAAAAAAAAGTAAAGAAACTGAAGACAGTCCCTTCTTCAAGGTGGCTTTGGCAAGATCAAAGCACATATATTTATAAAGCATCTACTATGAGTTGGGGCACCATATGAGGTGCCCTAGGATTAATAAAGCAGACATATCCTGGCCTCCCTGAGTTTATTTCAGAACAAAGAAAAGTTCACTCTGACATCACAGAACCAAAACTACAATTTTGGACAGGATTTGATGATCACCTTTTCTAACCCCTTTGTTTAAATAGTAGCTAAATCACAAAGTGGTAAGTGAGAAGCAGAGTCAGGGCTGAAATGCAGGCAGGCCACACACTGGGCACCGCTGTGCCTCAGAAGCACTGCCTTTCTCCTCAACACTCATCCCCTGCTTCTGGAGGTGGTATTACAGGGAAGGAAAGAGGGGCAAGGTATCTTGTGGGGGCAAGGTATCTTGGGTGGACAAGTGACAGGGATAGATGCCATTTCAAACAGAATAGTCAGGGAATCCCTCACTAGTTAAGACCTTTGAGCAGAGAGCTAAAGGAAGTGAGTGTGTAAACCACACAGATTTCTGGGGAATAAGCTACTTGGGGTGATTAGTACTCCTCCCAGGCACCATGGCTGTCTAACAAGGAACAGTGATTAAACAGGGTCAGTTTGCCTCTGCTGAGGAAATAAAGACATACCAGGCTAGGAGACAGAGAGCAGTTAAGGAATCCTTCCTTCCTCCTCTCAAGTCATACTGCAAGGCAGCTCCCCAACCCCTTTGTGCATAAGAGCATCCTTGCAATTGTTTTCTAATTCCACACTCAAAAACAGACAAAAACACCTAAACCAACTCTTACAACCAAGAAAATATCTGTACGTATATCTTTGCTCTTATTGAACTAATCTATAGCATATATGTCTTGCTTAGAGAAAAACAGATTTAGAGGTTTTATTCAATATAAAAGAAATCCGAGTTTTCTGAGGGAAAAAAGTAAAGCCCTGAGGACTGAAATTCGAATAGATGTATACTCACATAAACCCTTGATCCTAAGTTCACCTCTACACAAAAGACAGTCAGACCAAAGAATGAAGTTCTGTGTAAAATGCTAGCTCTTGATTGACTTTCTAGGTAGATCTGTGGAATGTGCTTCTCAAAACACACTTAAAAAGATAACATGCAGTTTAATTTTGCTGTGTTAGTTCAGCCCTATACAAAGAGAGAAAGAGTATAAAAAAGAAACTTAGATTCTAAGTTCTTGGATCCCTATATCAGAGAAAATTGTCCTGGTTTCTGGTCCCAGACTGCACTGACAAGTAAAACCTCCCTGCAGTTCCCTGAGTTTCCATAAGGTGGCATTGGGAGTCCTCGAGTGCAGAACTGGACAACCTGCAAGAGGCCTTTGCAAAAACTTCTTCCTGGTAGAAATTTCCAGACTGGCTGTCCTTACTTCTATCTTTGGAAAATGTCGAAGTTAAAAGTTCACCCTGGCCCACAAAAAGCCATCATTACAGAAATACTGATTTAAAGAGACTGGCTTGGAGTGGCTCTTAAGTTAAAATGGTGTGCAAGGGACAATTTATTTTACCCCTACCACACCCATGATGATGTCTTGTCTTTTGAACTGTACAGAAAAAGTAAACAGTTTTCAGGAGCTAAATTCAGCAGAGCTCTCACGAAATCCTCAGTTTTAAGTACTCTTACTTCTAAGAGTACACATCCTGTATTAAAAATAATTCATGAAACTGTAAGATTTGAGTTGCATTTGTCAACAAAATCCTGTATTTTACAGACAACTAAATAAATTAATTCTGACTTGGTGGGGTTTTTTTTTCATGTCTCAAATATATATCTAGTTCCTAGAAATTCTCATAAGCTCTATGCACCATGCCTATAGTATCCAAAATATAAACCATCCCTAGAACTGAATCTCTTCTGTCAGAGAAGACTCAGCTGAGTAAGGCCATTTTCCTCAAAATCTGATTTTCAGGGCATTATGTAATATTTTTCATTTAAATTAGATTACCTAAAAAAAAAAAAAAAAAAAAAAAGACATGTACCAATCTTTATTTTTCGAGATGGACTAGTTCTACATAAACTGCTTAATTTTCCACAACCACCAGAATTCTCTCCAGCAGGTACTCAAAAGATTTCCAATTTTGCTTCCAAGCATTTTTTGAAATACTGCCCCTGCCACTTCAAGGTCACCTGTGTGAAGCCCTTCCCAGCCTTCCAAGTAAAATTCACTGGCCCTGCCTCTCTGTACTATCCTGGTGACACTTGTGCCTCTAATAGCCCTTATCACTATCTGACTTGCATTAATTAGCATCCACAATCTCCTTAGATTACAAGCTCACAAAAGCAGAAACCATGTCATACTCAATACTGTTTCCCCATTGCTTAGCATAGAGCCTTAAAAATATTTGGGCTTAGAAACTTCACTGAATCCTCCAAACACAGCATGCTCACTTTGAATCTCACATCTCCAGCCTGCATCAATCCAAATCACATTCCAACCTTTCATGCTCAATTCAAGCCCTCACTTCCTCAGAGTCCTGTTAGTCTCTTTCTCTAGGAATACCACAGTCCTTTTAGTCCTTACTTTGTATTTTCACACACAGAGAAAATATACACGAGCATATCATCATTTCTTTCCTGTGTATGTTTTATCACTAAAGCTATCCAGGAAAATATTACGTATTATGTCATTAATTGCGATTTAAAAAAAGCACATGTACATTCAAAAAAATTTTTAAATCCTTCTTATGAGTTTTATTAGTCAGTCTGTAATCTTTTACTGCATGTATGAATGTACTCCACTTTTCCCCCTTGGATAAACTGGGGTCTTATTTTGCAGTGCTGTCAAACTGTCACTGTTCACCAGCTGTAACAAAGCACACCAGGAAAAAAAAAAAAATCAATAGCAGTTCTACAGCTAAAACCTCAGAATACTTCCTGGAAAACGTTTTCAGTAAGAGAGATAAACAACTCAATGGGATTATCTCTATCTCTCTTTAAACCCTGGCGAACGCATTCTAGTGGGGGAAAAATGCATTTGTTGGGATAAAATTTTATCCATACCTGCAAGAGCACATCTAACAGTGTAGTGTTTCTTTGATAACATGATGAATTATATAAAATGTCACTGCTCATTCTCTCCCTTCTATAAACACCATTGGGTCCAGAAAGCCACAACCACCTCTCCTAATGAAAGGCTTCTCTGAGGAACCTGACTTTACTGGACCCCAGGGATCATTCATGTTCTCGTTTCTTAGCAGTAAAAAGGACAACTTTGGCCCATACTTAGAATGTGTGTCTCTATGTATATTAAGATATGATTATATACAGAGTAGAAGCCTATTAAGATGCTAATATAAGGAAGCAGAATACCACCTACACGATAAGACCTCCACACAGGATCTGGTCCTTTGTATATCTTGTTCCATAGCAGGCCTTTGTGCTTTTTTAACGGGATTTTTTAATTGGCTGTTGGGTATAGACACGCACAATTTAAAATCAGCAACCTGATCTTAAAGAGACCATATGCAACTTTTTCTAATTAAACCATCTGAAGAAATCAGGGCTTCACTGTCCACAAGCTGACTTGCAGAAAAGAGACCAAGGTGGACTTAAATTAGAACGCCCCGAGGTTTCAGATATCCAGAGTTGTCTCAGTAGCTCTTCCCCTATCCATGGTGAATCGAGCCTTTTTTTTTTTTTTTTTTTTTTTGAGACGGAGTTTCGCTTTTGCTATCCAGGCTGGAGTGCAATGGCGCGATCTCAGCGCACAACCTCCGCCTCCCGGATCCAATCCATTCTCCTACCTCAGCCTCCCGAGAAGCTGGGATTACAGGCATGTGCCACTCCGCCCAGCTAATTTTGTATTTTTAGTAGAGACGGGGTTTCCTCACGTGCGTGAGGCTGGTCACTAACTCCCGACCTCGGGCGACCCACCCGTCTCGGCCTCCCAGAGTGCCGGGATTCCAGGCGTGAGCCACCACGCCCGGCTGAATCAAGACGATTTCTGGTCACCGCACACACAGCCCCGTCTACCGGATAAACAGCTTCTCTTTTTTTCCCTGGCAGTGCTGGTGTTGCTTATTTTGTCCATGAGGCGGCACCGGAAACAACCATACATCATCGACGACGAGGAAAACATCCACGAGAACATCGTCCGCTACGACGACGAGGGCGGCGGCGAGGAGGACACCGAGGCCTTCGACATCGCGGCCATGTGGAACCCCCGGGAGGCGCAGGCAGGGACCGCCCCCAAGACGCGGCAGGACATGCTGCCGGAGATCGAGAGCCTCTCCCGCTACGTGCCTCAGACGTGCGCCGTGAACAGCACCGTCCACAGCTACGTGCTGGCCAAGCTCTACGAGGCCGACATGGACCTGTGGGCGCCGCCCTTCGACTCCCTTCAGACGTACATGTTCGAGGGGGACGGCTCTGTGGCGGGGTCGCTGAGCTCCCTGCAGTCGGCCACGTCGGACTCGGAACAGAGCTTCGACTTCCTGACGGACTGGGGGCCCCGCTTCCGGAAGCTGGCCGAGCTCTACGGGGCGTCGGAGGGGCCCTCGCCACTGTGGTGACGGAAGCCGAGAGGCAGGTGCGTGTCCAAATCCAGACGTTCTCCGCGGGTGCTTCGCAGACAAGGTGCAGCCGACCACACGAGCAATACTGTGCTGGAGAGTGAGAATAGGGGTGAGCAGGAGAACAGAGCTCTCTCTGGATCAGCTTTACTTGGTTAGATTAAGTTAAATAAGCAAAAGGAAACCCAGGAAGAAGAGGGGAGAATCTTGGATTACCTTTTTTTTTCTTTTCTTTTCTTTTTGATTTTTCTAACGCTGTGCGCGAAGGCTAGGAGTCCAAGGTGTTATGGCAGGGGTGGCTTTTCCCTGCCATTCGCCAAGGCCTTTGTCACTTTTCCACCGCAAAAAGGCTCTGGCCTTGGATACAGAGATGCCAATTGAAAGCATAAAGTTATCCTCTCACATCTGTTTTTTTATCTTATCGTATTCTCCATTTAAGAGTTTTGCTGGCTCATCAAACCACAGAAACCAACCAACAGGAAAGAACAGAAAACTTGTTATTCAGTGAAATTAACCTACTTGTTCTGGGATGGATGGAATTTCTTGTAACCCTTTTGAGACAAGGTTAAGACTGAATCAGCCTTGCATGGGGGTAGATGGGTGGGAGGGTGGGTGAAGGAAGAGACACTGACTTTATGCCCAAGTTTAGCGGCTGAACCAAGAGGTGTTGGCATTACAGCTCATCCAATGCCAAGTTCGAGTGCTCCTGTTTCCTCTCAGCTCTTTAACTGTGCCCCTGCAAAATTGTTCAGAATGAAACCAGAAAAATCTGCCTCTTTTGCACTGTAGATGTCTCTTCCATGTGCCAAATGTGGATATTAGATGCTACAAATGAAAGCCAAATAAAAAGAAGTATCTGATAAAAGCATGGGTTAGAGGGCTTTCCTAATCTGTGTGAGGTCAATCCAATGGATGTTTACATACTGTAGATAACCTACTTGAACAAAAATCAGTATTATAGAGAATAAATGGATGTAAGAAAATTACATGTACAAGTTTTGTATATTTGTTAATAATTTTGGTAATAAATATGATGTACTGCATCTCAGTACCTTAGCACTTCTTTTAATAAAAGTTAAATAGAAGGAAAAGTCTATTGAGAATTTGTTTAGTTGCTGAACAGGTAGAAGATGACTTTGTAATCCTGATCTAGCCTCAGGTTCCCAGGGTTGGGGCTGATTCATAAGGCAAAAGCAATGCAAAGAAGTGTGAGGTTGCATTCTATTTCAGTCACTAATCATATGAACATTATGCTTCAAACTGTTAATCTTTTAATGAACACTCCATTTCCATCTCTAAAAAGAGCAGAGGGTGGTTTGGTAATAATGATACAATGGTGAATTTAGCCCATATTTTTCATTTTGCAAAAGGTTATTACACATAGCCACCAATGAGGCAGGCTACTGTGCAACTTACATCTCTATTTCATTGGCAAATTGAGCTCACAGATAGCTGAGACCATATTTTATTCATCTTTCCTTTTACTACAATGGCTAGCATACTCCTCTGCATAGAGTAGGTGCGTAACATACTTCATGGCTACATGACGGGAGGGTTCTCTTTATTTGACATTCTATTACTAAAGAATATTTTACACAATTATCTTTACAATTGAGGCTAAATTGTGAACAAAAGCACTTTCTGAGAGCCTTGGTTATAGCAAGAGTTCTCAAATTTTAACTTATCAGAATCACCTGAAGAAATTGTTAAACTACCTCACCCCCAGAATTTCTGATTCAGTTGATTTGGGGCAGTTTTTGTATTTCTAACATATTCCCAAGAGATCCTGATGCTGCTGGCCCAGGAACCTCATTTTGAAAACCTCTGGTATGTAGTTGCTCACTTTCTAACATATGAAGATTAAACTATAACCCATCTGCATTGGGTCTCATATCTCGCAGAGTGGTGTTGTAAATCATTTTTTTCAGTAAAACAATAACAGTATACAGAAATGTATGAGAAAGTTAATGAGGGCCTGGGAGCCAGCAGGATGTGCTTTTTTGCATATTACACATTACATGGTACATTAACAGCCACCAAATTCTCTTCAGCCTTAAGCATACTAATCATTTCTTCCCATGAAAGGCAGGCAGCTCTCACACGTCCTCTTCAAGGATAGAGTGCAATGTAAAAATGAATACACTTAACAAAGAAGAAAAAAAAAAAAAAAAAAAAAGAGCATGGACTTGAGTCCAAACTAGGCTTTACAATATACCAATTATATGCATGTGGGCAAATCAACCTCTATAACATTCTTCCTTCCTACCACAGCCTTGAGGATAATTTTGTGAGTATTTCACTTTGTATTGCTTGTGTTACAACTGAGAACAGCTGTTATCCTAACCACAGGGGTTTATCATGCCCCACATCCTGCAAATGTGGTCCCCATGATATTGGGCATGAAGTGATTAAACAAAATCCCCTGAATCTTCTGGTCCCTGGGAGGATGTTTAATGGTGTAATACAGGAAGTGTGAATGAAGCACAAAATAGATCTATTTCAGCCTCATACTCTAAGCTAAAAGAGATTCCCCCTCCAAATGAGTTTTAAAATTCCCTTTCTAGTGCCACACTGTAATATAAATGCTGATCCCTCTGAGAACAAAAAAAGAGAAAACCATCATCACCTCTATATAGACAATGTGATCAGGTTAGACCAGACTGCTGTAAAATTGTTCAGCCATTTCTTTGTCAATAGGTAAAACAGCTAGCCTATAATTTACATGTTTGAGGGAAACAGGAACATCTGCAGAAACCAATTGATGAGACTCAGTCTGAAACTGTATTCTGAATAAGAACACAAGCAAAGATAAAAAATAGCAGTGAATTTTCTGAATCTAAAAAAGAGGATATTCAAGCAAGGCATATAGCAAAGGCAAAGATGGAGTGGTTCACACAAGAAAGAATCTGTAAATCCTGAAAGTAGAATTCAACAAGTTAAAAATCAGTGCAGGCACGTTGATTAAGAGTTATCATTAGTTCGCTAGTAATGCAGAACAAGGCCTTAATGACAGAATTCACAGTATTTCCATATAGTGCTGCGACTACATGAATGTGAGACAGACACAATTTACAAGTAGTTCTCATTGCAGATTGACTCACTGTCATATCCATTTGTCATTTTTGTAATGAAGAACCTTCAAGATATTGAAGGAAGCAAAGATAAAAATTAACAATGAATTTTCTGAATCTAAGAAAGAGAATATTCAAGCATGGCATATAGCAAAGGCAAATATGGAATGGTTCAAACAAGAAAGAATCTATAAATCCTGAAAACAGAATTCAACAAGTTATTGAATTCCATATTGAAAATGGTTATGGGGAATAATATGGATTGGGGAAGCTTCTGCTTTATTCTTCAAGATCAAGTTTCTGATAGAGTAAGTGGATAAAATTAGGCCAAGGGGTCCTCTTTTAAAATGACCTTCTAGTGACTTCTTTGCTTCTTTGTCTCTTGTGATTCATGTTAGCAAAAAAAAAAAAAAAAATACGAATTTACACACTAAGTAATTAAGTATAACACCAACCCAAAACAATTTTCTTACATCTTCCTTCCTGGGACAGGAAGCTGGCATATCTTACCTCATTTGTTTGGCCACACTGTTGGTTTGATGATCAGATACCAATGATGAGAGTCTCTTCCACTCCATTGCTTTAGCTACTGTGGTCACCTTCCTGGTGTCTATGATGCCAAGGGCTCTATCTCCGATCCCAGAAAGCCGTAGATCACTTCTCTGAGAGTAGCCACTCTCAAAAACTGGTACAACTACCCACAGAATCTTTTCTAATCTTTCAGGAGGGCTGGATCCTTGGTCTTTTTTATTGTTACTTTCATTTCTTCCCTTTCTTTCCTATCACCTGTTTTAGTTACCATTGCTGCTGCATTAAAAAAAAATTTTAATTAAAAAACTGGTAAAAATGATAACCATTTTATTATGTTCATAGATTCATAGATTCTGTGGTCAGGAATTCAGAAAGTGTGCATCTGACATTTTGTGACACTTTGCCTCTACTCCACAATGTCTGGGGTCTCAGCTGAGAAGACTTAAAGGCTAAGGGTGATCATGGGCTGGGTCTTGACGTATCCATTGGTTCGTTCACCCATGTCTTGGTGGTTGACACTGATTATCAACAAGGACACCAGATGGAGCAAATGTCAGTCAACCTCTGTATGTGGCTGCTTGGGCATCCTCCCAGCATGGAGGCTGAGTGACAAGAGTATAAACATCACAAGAAACCAAACAAAAACTAAATCACCTTTCCTGACTTCAGAAGTCACACAGCATTACCTTTATGGCAGTCACAAGCTTCCCCAGATTGAAGAAGAGGGAACGCAGGCTCCACCTCTCAGTGAGAAGAGTGTCAGAACTACATCTATATTATAAGAAGACATAATGTTCACATTGTTGGAAAATACAATCTGCCATATTGTCTTTTCCTTTTTTCATACCCTGCCTCTTTTTCCTACTCCAGGAAATCTCTTTTGGTTCCACTCACCATTTCCTTATTCTCTTCCACTCCCTTCCTTCATTATAGAATATATTCATACTTCCATAAATATATTATTATTCTTTGAAATTCAGCACTATCCCTACCACAAAGTACTTTCAGAAGTAAATGAATATTTCATGAAAACACCTAGCAAAATATCTGAGGTATAACAAGCATTCAATATATATATTTTATTGTGGTATAATTGACCTCAATAAAAGGTCAATGATATTACATTTTTACTGCAGTATAATAAACTGCATATATCTAAAGCATACAATTTGATAAGTTTTGACATACGTGTACACCCATGAAACTATCACCACAATCAAAATGGTGAGTATACCTGTCGCCTCCAAAGGTTTTCTCCTGTCCCTCTATAACACTTCCCTCCCATCCTGACCTACTCCCCTCCCACCCCAAGCAACTACTGAGATGTCTTCTATCACTATAGATTGGTTTGCATTTTGTGGACTTTTACATAAATGGAATCATACAATAGATACTTTTTTCTTTGATCTCACCACTTTCACTCCTAATTATTTTGAGATTCATCAGTGTTGTGCATATCAATAGTTTATTGGGTTTTGTTGCTGAGTAACATTTCATTGTATAGCTATAGGACAATTTATTGATTGATTTGCATATGGATGGATAATTGGGTTGTTTGCAGTTTTTGGCTATTGTAAACAAAGCTGCTATGAACATTTATGTATGAGTCTTCATATGGACATATATTTCCTCTTCTTTGTAAATGTCTAGGTGTGCAATGGATGGAATATTTAGTAGGTATATGCTTTAAGAGGAAGAAAGAAATCTGCCAAACTGCTTTCCAAAGTATTATTACCATTTTCTATTCCCACCAGCAATAAATGAAAGTTTCATTTTTTTTTTCACATCCACACAGACATTTGGTGTGGCTGGACTTTTTATTATAGGAGAATTGTGGCATCTCACTGTGGCTTTAGCTTACAATATCCTAATGACAAACAATGTTGAGCATCTTCTCATGTGCTTATTTGCCATCCATGTAACTGCTTTGATGCTGTTTCCAGATATTTTGTCCATTTTTAATTGGGTCATTTTCTTATTATTGAGTCTGAGATTTATTTATATTTTCTGGATACAAATCCCTTATATACTTTATATCCTTTATATGCTTTTATATGTTTTAGACGCTTTTTAAAAATTATTTATATGCTTTGCAAAGATATAGTCCCAGTCTGTAGTTTGCCATTTTATTCTCTTAATATCTTTGACAGGGCAGAAATTACTGATTTTGATAATATTCAGTTTATCCATTTTTTTCTTTTATGGATTGTACCCTTGGTGTCATTTTTAAGGAAACTTTATCTAACTCAAGGTCACAAAGTTGTTCCATGTTCTCTTCTGGAAGTTTTGTGTTTTTAGGTTTTACATTTAGGTCTATATTCACTTCCGAGTTTCTTTTTGTAGATTGTTAGGTATGATCAAGATCCTTTTGTTTTTTTGCATATGGGTATCCAATTGATCTAGCACCATTTATTGAAAAGGGCTATCTGTTTTTCACTGCATTGTCTTTGAGCCTTGTTGTGGGTTGAATTGTGTCCTCTAAA